AATCCTACTTCCGTAGTGATACTGCCTCGGAAACCCAAGGAGGGGTCGCTATGAGTCGGGGCCGACTCGACGGCACATAACAACAACAACAACATATAAAATCAGAGGCCATATATCTTACTGCAGGTTTTAATTTTTTTTTTTTTTTTACTTTAACTCATTGAAAAATACAGGTTTTGGTCTTTCAAGTATATTGTAGTGTGCAGTCTACATTTTAAAATGGGACTATTGGATAAATGATTTAAACATTCCCAATTTTTTAATTGGAAGGTTGCTTTTCATTAAATCTTGGTCTTTGGTATCATTTGGCTTATTCTGCTGTAGCAGAATATATGTCACAATAGAATGCCAAATGTACACTATGTAGAATCTTGAGCAAGAGTCTACATTGTCCTGTGCCCCTAATTTCACCTCAAAGAGAAAAATGTTACTAATAAAACTGAAAGGAACAGTAAAGCTCAACAGAAACTTGATTGAACCCTGTAGTCATATGGTTCATGCTTTGTATTAAATATAGGCTGACTGTATCAAATCAGAAAAACGTTAAGCCAATATACTCAGGAATTCCCCATTTATGTAGGAAAAGTACTAACATTTAAACCCACTGCCATCAAGTCAATTCTGACTCACAGTGACCTTATAGGACAGAGCAGAACTGCTCCCATAGGCTTCAAATGCTATAAATCTTTACAGAAGCAGACTGTCTCATCTTTCTCTCATGGAGTGGCTGGTGGGTTCAAACCACTGACCTTTTGGTTAGCAGCCCAGTGCATTAATCAGAGCTCTCTTCTAAAGTGTAAAAGGCATGTAATATTTTCCTTACCACTAGAAATAGGCCCACGAATAAGTTCAAAAACGATACAGGTCATGTTTCTCTGGCATTTGTTATTTGCTGTTTTGTTTCCTAGGTATTTCTGCAGGTTTTATAATTATTATCATCTTGGTTGGTGCCGCCTTGTACATGATATTAAAACAAAAAGAACGGTAAGTTCAAATGTATGCTCGACTAAAATGCATTAAAAAAAATGTTGGCTTCTTGCTTGAAACTAAACACAGAAGCACAGGGATATGAGATGAATATTGTGATGATGATAACTGGAAGATATGCTAGGCTATACAGAAGGAAATGTCTCTGTACTAACTTACAAGATAGCACCAGATGAGAACATTCCTGTGCTATTCCTCCCTTCTCTCTCTCCCCACCTCCTCTACCCCTGTAGTAGTCCCAATCTATTGGTCTTGGGGGATGTATACAAAAAAAAAAAAAAAACAACTCACTGCCGTCAAGTCCTTTCCACCTCATAGCGACCCTTCCTTGAGTTTCTGAGGCGATATCACTATGGAAGTAGATTGTCTGATCTTCTTTCCTAGGAGTGGCTGGTGGGTTTGAACTGCCAGCCTTCTGGTTAGCAGTCAAATGCCTTAGGCACTGTGCTACCAGAGCTCCCCTGGGAGATGTATGAGAGTCTAAAATCAGAGGCAGTGGGTCTGTGTAAATAAAGCAGTCTGAAAGTGGAGTCTTAACTCCATTTTAAAGTCTTTATTGTGAGTCTAGAATTCATGTTGAATTTTAAAGCTGCCTTGTCTAACTAACATCAGTTCCTCTAACCCTGATGCCGACCTAACCAAATGCCCTAAAGGAGACATTGCTTTTCTCAGAGGTCTGGCAGGTGCAAAATATCACAATCTATTCCCAAAGGGCCTTTCCACTGTGGTACAACAGATGCAAGGTGTGATAGTGTAAACCTCAAGGATCTTGATGTGTAGCATCATTAAATCTTTGCAATGGACTTCCAGAAACATACATGATAGAGGAATCAATTTTAATAGCAAGTTGCCAGAAAAACCTGTCCTACCACTGTCTTGTGACTATCCTCTAATAAGCTGAAAGGTGCATACCTTTAACCAATCATACAGTCACACTTACGTGTTATCCACCTATCTCAGCTAAATCCCTGCTTTTGGATATCCTGCCTTTGATCCCTCTAATTGTTTTTCATTCAATTATGATTTAGTAACTTGTAATCCCTGCTCCAACTGTACAAAAACGTTTTCTTTCTCATTGTTTGTGGAAGCGGCCATTTTCACTCTGTGAATTTGGATGTCTTCCTGTCTGGACCATATCTGGATTTTCAATAAATCTAATTTTACATTTGCAGAGTGTGAGTTTTCAGTCTAGGACAGGGAGGAGGAGAAAACTGCCTACCATGTAAGAGTGAGCAAAAAAAAGTCACAGGGAATGTGACTATTTGCAAGGAAAAACTTCCCCACTGAGTAAATTTTATAGAAGCAAAGTAGCGGGGGGGGGAGATGTGTATTTGGGTGATTAAAAGAAAAGAAAGAACTTATGAGATAATGAAGATTTATTTTATTTGAATGTTTATTATTCAATGGTATTTTCAATCGCCTCATATGCATGTGAGAGTTGGAAAATGAATAAGGAAGATCGAAGAAGAATTGATGCTTTTGAGTTGTGGTGCTAGCGAAGAATGCTGAAAGTACCATGTTGTTGTTGTTGTTGTTGTTATTTGCCGTCGAGTCGGCCCCGACTCATAGTGACCCCTCCTTGGGTTTCCGAGGCAGTTATCACTACGGAAGTAGGATTGCCCAACCTTCCTTCCTAGGAGTTGGCTGGTGGGTTTGAACTGCCAGCCTCCTGGTTAGCAGTCACATAGACTGCTAAAAGAACTAATAAATCTGTCCTGGAAGAAGTACAGCCGGAATGCCTCTTGGAAGTGAGGATGACCAGACTTCCTCTCACCTACTTTGGTCATGCTGTCAGAAGGGACCATTCTCTGGAGAAAGATGTCATGCTTGGTAAAGTAGAGGGTCAACGAAAGAGGGGAAGGCCCTCAACAAGAAGGATTGACAGGGTGCTGCAGCAATGGGCTCAGGTACAGGAAGGATTGTGAGGTTGGCACAAGATCAGGCAGTGTTTCATTCTCTTGTCCATAAGGTCACTATGAGTCAGAGACGTCTCAACAGCACATAACAATATTTATTCAGATTGTACATCCTAAAAATCTCTAAAGTACAAAAATATTTTTAAAATCCAGTGATTTTTTTTTTTTACAAAAAAAAAATAATAATAATAAAAGCAGTTGGTAAGTAAAGTATATTTAAATCTCTCAGCTCCACATTCCTGTGATCCTGGAAATTTGTGTCTTCTATC